TTGCAGAACAGCCCGGTGTGACACTGGAAGATCTACAGGACAGCGGTGATTTCGCAAGTTTGGATCTGAAGTTTGCGGAAGCTTTACAAGCGATTCTCAGCAGCGAATTGAAACTGGATATCAAATTGCTGGAGAACACAGAGCACAAGCACGGTCGCATGATAAAGGGACGTCAGATCTACTGGAAGATTTTGCGTTATTACGATGTGACCGACGCCGACGATACGATTCATGATTTCGAAAGGATCAACACTCTACGTATGCATGGAGATGACCTCAAAAGGTTCGTGACGGAGTGGGACCAACTGCTCCTGGAGCTCCGGGAGCTTCCTCCGCCGAACATTATGGAGTCACTGTTTCGTACACAGATTGAGTTGCATCCTTGGATGAAGGACGACATGAACACGTACAACAAAGCTCCTAAAGGGGCACCAGAGCGCTGTTACACTTGGCTCCACCACCGAGTCACAGCTGTTCTTGAGCTACACCGAACGCGGCGCAACCAGTACCACCTGAGGACAGGCAACAGGGACACCGCAGCCATCGTCTCTCCGAAGACTGGCTTCTGCGTGCCCTTCAGCAAGGGCAAATGCCCCAAGGGAAACGCGTGCAAGCTCCTGCACATGGTGGACTCCCGCAGCCGCCCTGACACTGGCGCCCCTCACAGCGAGAACTCTCGCCAGCCCCAGCGTTCTGCCCAGCCACCCGGCTCGCAGCAGCCTCACGGCGGCGCCGCGCGTTTTTGCCACAGATTCGCCAAAACTGGTGCCTGTTCGTACGGCGACCGCTGCCGCTACCCCCACGTGCCCGCCTGCAGCTACTTCCAGGCAGGCCACTGCGCCAAGGGCGACGCGTGCACCTACGCACACCTGGCAGCCAACGCTGCGACTCCGCCACAGAGCACCAGCCGCCCGCGGAGTCAGGACAGCCGTGGCCGCCCCCCCTCGCGTGGACCGAAATCTGGTCGAAACCACCGTTCGTCCAGGAGTCCGGGGGGATCTCAGCAGCCTCCTCGTGACGCCTCCCAATCTCAGACCTGGGATAACTGGCGATCTCGGCCCGCTCCCAACCAAGACGGGTATGAGAGTCAGGAAGGCACGCTCCACGACGACTCCCAGCGCGGACGTCGACCTTCTCGCGACTCAGACCGTACCAGCCAGCGGAGCAGCACGAGCACGAGGGCCCGGTCACCTGCCGCTCCCTGGAACCGAGTGTACGTCATACGCTCCAAACACGGCGCCCTGACCGGCACCCGCGCCGGCTCCCAGGCCGGCCCCGAGCGTAACCCCCAGCCCGGCTCGCCGCCCGGCGCCCTGACCGGCGCCTTTGCCGGCTCCCAGGCCGGCTCCCAGCCCGGTTCCCCACCTGGCGCACTGCTGCCTGGCGGCGCCCCCCCCGGCTCCGAGCACGGCTCCCAGACCAGCTCCGAGCCCGGCGCCCTGACCGGCACCCGCGCCGGCTGCCAGGCCGGCTCCGAGCACGGCCCCCAGACCAGCTCCGAGCCCGGCGCCCTGACCGGCGCCTTTGCCGGCTCCCAGTCCCGCTCCGAGTCCGGTCCCCAACCCGGCTGTTCTGAGCGCAGCACCTTTCTCGGCTCCGAGCCCGGCTCCCAATCCGGCGCCGAGCCTGGCGCCCTGCCTGGTGCCTCGCCAGGCCCCCAGTTTGGACACAGCACGCGAGTGTCCAACAGTCCGGGGGGCACGCGCTGTTACGACTCCTGTCGACTACGGCGCTCCCCCTCCCGCGACCGACGCCGCAGCAGCCAAAGCAATGATCACGACCCGAGCCCTTGTGATCGGCCTCCCGGCTGTCTTCGACCTCAAGTTGACGTCTGTCGTCCACGATCCTTCGCTCTCGCTGCAGTCCCTGGCAGAAAGACTCAGACGCCGAAAGGCTTGCAATGGAACTTTGCAGCCACAGAGATTCACTACTTCCCTGTTCAGACCAAAATGCGTCGACACCGTACTTCCCCTAACCAGGGATATGTGGTCCACGTTCCTGATGTTCTTCCGGACCACTGGCTGCAGACCTCCGCGGATGCGCTCCAGGAGGCAATCGAGAACGCCATCCGTTTGACCGAGCGCCTGGACGACGACCTCGACACCTGCATGCCGCTTGTCCCAGCCGGGGCAGTGCAGCAGGGAATTGCAGCAGGGCTAGTGCAGCAGGGAACTGCAGCAGGGCTAGTGCAGCAGGGAACTGCAGCAGGGACCATGCAGCAGGAAACTGCAGCAAAGTCCCCCGCGGTTCTCGCACGGTCTTGGGTCTTGGATAGTGGTTCTGCGCACCACATCACGGACAAGGACGATTTGACTCACGCTGAAACATGTGGTATTCGTCGTGGACATGAATACGTATTGGAAACAGCAAACGGTGATCGAGTTGTTAATGAGCACATCAATATTTCTGTGCCTTCCATTAACTTGCACACAGGTTCTTTGGCTCTCAAAGGTTGTCCGTCTGTTATTTCCATGGGTCGTCTCGTCGAGGATGAGGATTGGACCATCCATTGGAGCAGAAAAGATGGGTGTGTTCTCTCACCACCAGATGGTGGACCATCACGGAGGGCCCCTGTTCGCGACTACATACCACACGTTGACGCTGATAACATGGAGTTAGTGTTTCCGCCTCCACCGAATCCGGGGGGGCACTGTCGTCGACGCCCAGAGGCTCATTCGAGGCGCAAGGTCAAATTGCTCTGCTGTGGCACCGTCACATGGCAATCACATGCCTGCGACGATACCTTCGTCCCGACGGACGCCTGCGAAATCGACACGGTCGAGTTGGCTCCGACTAGCGCGCCCTGTCCGTGCTGCGGCGCCACGAAGGACCAGCCACGGCAAGGGGATGACTCAGCTCCGGCTCAAAAGCCGCATGCTTCTGTTACGTCCTCAAGGACACGCCCGGCTGCTGCTCCATCAGAGCATCTGGACACCAGAGCGCCCAGAGGATCTGGACACAGGAAGAGAAACCCACCTCCCCTGCCCCCACGGCGCGGAACACGGGACTCTCCAGGAACGACCCGGCACGGAAAATCTCCCCGCTCCCAGGACTCTCCGGATCCGATTCGGCTGAAGAAATCCCGAAGCAGGAGCCCGCTGGCTCTGGCTAAGCCGTTGTTCTTTCGACAGACGGTCAAAATCAAGACCCCGGCTCTTAGTTCGGACCCCCCTGTGCTGAAGAGGCAGACGCCTCCCTCGCGTTCAGGTTGTTTTTGCGTCCTCCCTCGACAGCACGTAGCCGCGAGCTCAGCCACCGCCGACCAGCCCGATCAGCCGGTCGATTGGGACCCCGATCGCCGATCAGACGCGGATCGATCGCTGGATCCTGGCCTCGGCTTCCATTCGCCCACTCTCGGTCCGGAGACCAGAGACGCCGTCGCTCTCCCGAGCGCCGATCGCGCGTGGTCTGACTACATAACAGATGTCATAAGGGGTGCTGCCCATCTGGACGCCGAAATTGCAGCGGGCAACCGCAGCGAGTACGGCGCAACGAAGGGCACGTCGAAAGGGGGAACGGAGGCCGACCCTGCCCCCCCTACACACCACAACTCCCCTTACGGTACATCATCTGGCGCGTCCTCGAGCCATGGTTCCGCCTCCTCTGGCGCCCCCATGGCGTGCCGCTGGTTCTGCCGCCGCTGATTACGCGGCTCGGCAGTTGTACCTCATGGACATCAGAGCATACCAGCACCACATCATGATGGATGATGACATCTGCATACAATTTTGATGGCTTCCAAATTTCTTCTGACTTTTGACGTGCCTCTCACATCTTGGTCGATATCAAAACCATACTTGTCACCATGGACAGGCCCAGCTGTATATGAAAAGGTACCGCAACCAGCCTACTCACCATTTCTTGCAGCCGACGCCGAGAATTTGGTTGGAGCGATGGCATAAGTTTTGTGCGTTATCTCTGGGACGTTAGCTTCGCGATAGTAGAGCAGGTGACAACCTTATTATCGATTGCAGTCTTGACAAAACGGCCTAAAGAGCCACAAAGATGATTGTCTAGCATGTACTGTTGAAAATGCACAATTGCAAAAACATGTGAAAAAGCATAATTGCATAAATACACTTGATTCTTCATTACTGGTGCAAGACGTACAAGATTTTCTTGGAACTTGCGCATGCACTCTACTCCTCATATCTCAAAGTTTTGCGTTTTGCTTTGGATTGGATCTGGCTCATTGCACACATCGTTGCATTCATATCATGTGTTGCTTCGGGCACCGACCGTTTGGGTCGGTGTCATAAGAGCTCAGTCTCTCCATTCCACTTCTCTCCAGCCCACAGCACTGTCCTGGGTTCTATCTCGGCGGCAGGCGCTGTAAAACTTTGTTTGCGGGTTAGCGCCGCCGTTGGGTGCGAACCTTACGACAGAGTTTTGGCTGTCCCTTCTTTCCTTCCTGGGCTGAAGCAGTGGATTGCAGACAGGAGTTCAGTAGAGATTCACTCTCCTATCCCGATCCCCGCTTCGGTGCCTTTCGCCTTTGTGCGTGGGCATCGGGCGGGATCGGGACGGGGGGTGTGCGTGAATCCCCCTACTTTCCTCCTATCTTGCTCATATCCATCGCCCCTTTCGGCTTGGCTCAAGGTACTCGTACACAGAGGGTGAAGAGGACAACTTCCATCATCCTCATCACGTCTACCTACGGACACTTTGGGGGTGGGTTCGGTCCTTCGGTCCCCCTCCCCCTCACACACGGCTGGAAAGTGTATACCCTTCCGGTGGCACCGTAGGGGTATAAATTTTCCAGCCGCCTTGGGACAGGCGCCCCCGACAGCGACAGAGTTTACTTTATACCGTTCTTCGCCCGTTAACAGAAGTCTCGAACCATTCCCCAGGGCCAGCTTCTCATTCTGAGCCTATGTTCGACGGTCCCGTGGCCCGGCGAGAGCCCCCAGAGATCGCAGACGGCGAACGTTGTCCGTCCTGGACTCGAGACCGGAGATCGGCACAGGCTTCTTGCCGTGGCCTCTTCGCAGCGAGGCGAGGTCTGGGCCTCCGCGCCGGCCCCGCACGAGCGGCTGCTCGCCGCGCAGCGCGCCGCGCTGGGAGGCGTGGCGGCCTCAGCCCGGCGTGGGAGCCCGCCACGAGAGATCAGCCCTGAAGGCTTTCGCCGCGCAGCGTCGCCGACGGGAGGGGCGAGTATGAAGCAGTGGCGAAGCGTCCTGGCTTGCTCATGCGCCCACCCAAGGATCATCCAAGAACCTTCCGCGTTCAGCACGGAGTGTTCCTGGAACATGTCCAGTTGAGGGCGGAGGAGGAGGAGGAGGTGGAGGAGGAGGGGGGGGACGAGGACGAGGACGAGGACGAGAACGAGGTCGAGGTCGAGGACGAGGTCGAGGAGGAGGAGGAGGATGTGGAGAAGGAGGAGGAAGGGGAGGAGAAGGAAGAAGAGGAGGAGGAGGAGATGGATAATCATGAGGAGGAGGAGGAGGACGACGATGAGGGAGGAGGGAGGAGGAGGAGAGAGAGGAGAGGAGGGTCTAATTACCCGCCCCGTGCGTTGCCGCGGTTTCGCCGCGGGGGGCGGGCCTGTCACCACCTGAGTTACCAGGCCCCCCGCCCACGTCGACGACGAGGACGAACCGGGTCTTCATGTTCGCCGTCCACTGCGCCCGAGCATCAGGAGTGCCCAAATTCACAGAATTATGAGCTCACCGCTGCCGAGCGCGCTGGGCGCCGGACCCGCCGCCGCCGCCGCGCGCGCCGTCGGTCGCAGCCGCGCGCGCCGTCGGTCGCAGCCGCCCGCTCCTCGACGCTGCAGCCTGTGCCGCGGCCACGGGGCCGCCGCGGCCGCGAGGCAGCCGCGGGCCCCTCCGGGGGCGCCGCATCCACAGCGGTGGGGAAGGGTGTGGCCAGCTCGGCCACTGCCGTTCGGAGCAGGCCTTTCGGCGGTGCGGAGGAGGCGCGCCGCTTCCCGCTGGCCGCCCGCCCGCCCGGCCGCCGCGTTCGTCGCCTGGGCCACGCCGCGCGCAGCCTCCCGCGGCGCTTTTGCTGGGCTTGCGCCGTGCGCACCTGGCCAGCATCGGTCGGATGGCGGGCTCACGGCCCAGCGACGACAGACTTGAGCCAATATGGTACTTGAGACCAAAGGCTACGGAGGAGGAGGAGGAGGAGGGAAAGGAGGAAGACGGGGAGGAGGAGGAGGAGGAGGAGGAGGAGAAGAAGGCGCAGAGAGGGAGGGAGGTTTGGGAGGGAGTGACATGGTACGGGATGGGGCGGCGAAGGTAGGGAGGTGTAGAGGGGGAGGGAGGGCAGAGGCTACGTGAGAGAGCGCGGCCAAGGTCCTCCAGGAGCTGGAGGCGAAGGGCAGGAAGGGCACGTTCTCGCATTGGGTGCGGCGGCGGTCCCCAACGTGATCCCGACGCGCCCGTCCACCCCCCCTGTTGCCCATACCTCCGGTAAGAGATCGACTACAGAATCGAGCTGCCCCAGAATTGTCGTTTCTCGTAGGACCTGCGAACAAACGTTATTGTGTTCGTAGATCATGATGTCCACGCAAGTAGATTCGATCGAGATTTCAGTTTGGGGCGCATCAAGTCTGCAGTCGACCTCATACCTCTCGCGGGGCGCTGTCCCGCCACCGCCCAAGCCAAGGCACTCGAGGCGAGCCCCGCCCACATCTCCCCCATCCTCTCGTCGTGATGCTCTCCTGCCTCTCCCCCTCTGCGCCGGGAGCCTGCCCCGCGCCACAGCCGCAGGCGTGGTGGGTCTTCCCCACGGAGGCCATCGGGAAGCACGACCCTGAGCAGACCTGCGTCACTGCGGCCACGGCGACGTGGCTGACGGCGCAGGACGACGGGACGTGGCGCAGGGTGCTGGAGAAGGTCTGCGAGCTCGCGGACGCAACGGGGACTGGAGTTCTACCCGCGCGTGATCACGGCCGCGTGCATCATTTTATCCAGTTCTGGTCCCGGGTGGACGGCAGGCCGCCCTGGATGACGGACGTGTGCCACCGCCTGTCCAGACAGACCCCGCGGCCCCGAATCGGCGATCCTCCGCTGTCATGGGCCTCTGGCAGGGTTTTACACAGGGGCCAGTAGATACGGGGGCACACAAAGACGACAACGAGGGAATGACATCGCTCTCGGCACGTCGTCCCCCCATCACAATCCGCTCAAAATCTGCCACAAGACAGGGCCTGCCACGCTGTGCGAGCCCACAACGGATAGGGAAACCACCCCCAGCGCACCCTCTGCGGTGTCGAGGAAGTGCCACGCCTGCCACGCTGTGCGAGGCCGCAACGGATTGGGAGGCCACCCCCAGCGCACCCCCTGTGGTGTCGAGGAAGTGCCATGCCTGCCACTTTTTGCAAGACCGCAACGGATAGGGAGACCGTCCCCAGCGCACACCCTGTGGTGTCGAGGAAGTGCCACGCCTGCCACGCTTTGCGACGCCGCAACGGATAGGGAGACCACCCCCAGCGCACCCCCTGTGGTGTCGAGGAAGTGCCACGCCTGCCACGCTTTGCGACGCCGCAACGGATAGGGAGACCACCCCCAGCGCACCCCTTGTGGTGCGAGGAAGTGCCACGCCTGCCACGCTTTGTGAGCCCGCAACGGATAGGGAAACCACCCCCAGCGCACCCCCTGTGGTGTCGAGGAAGTGCCACGCCTGCCACGCTTTGCGATTCCGCAACGGATAGGGAGACCACCCCCAGCGCACCCCCTAAGTGCCGAGGCCGCAACGGATTGGGAGGCCACCCCCAGCGCACCCCTTGTGCTGCCGAGGAAGTGCCACGCCTGCCTCGCTTTGCGAGCCCGCAACGGATAGGGAAACCACCCCCAGCGCACCCCCTGTGGTGGTGAGGAAGTGGCACGCCTGCCACGCTGTGCGAGGCCGCAACGGATTGGGAGGCCACCCCCAGCGCACCCCTTGTGCTGCCGAGGAAGTGCCACGCCTGCCTCGCTTTGCGAGCCCGCAACGGATAGGGAAACCGTCCCCAGCGCACCCCCTTGTGGTGTTGAGGAAGTGGCACGCCTGCCACGCTGTGCGAGGCCGCAACGGATAGGGAGACCGTCCCCAGCGCACCCCCTGTGGTGTCGAGGAAGTGCCACGCCTGCCACGCTGTGGGAGGCCGCAACGGATTGGGAGACCGTCCCCAGCGCACCCCCTTGTGGTGCGAGGAAGTGCCACGCCTGCCACGCATTGTGAGGCCGCAGCGGATAGGGAGACCGTCCCCAGCGCACCCCCTGTGGTGTCGAGGAATTGCCACGCCTGCCACGCTGTGCGAGGCCGCAACGGATAGGGAGACCACCCCCAGCGCACCCCCTGAGGTGTCCAGAAAGTGCCACGCCTGGTATGCCTGGACGATTGGGGCGTGCTGTGCTGTGTTGGCCTGTGGTGCGGTCTGCTGTGCTGTGCTGTGCTGTGCTGTGCTGTGCTGTGCTGTGCTATGCTGTGTGTGCTGTGTGCTGCGTGTGATTGTGTGTATGTGTGTATGTGTGTGCTGTGCTGTGCTGTGCTGTGCTGTGCTGTGCTGTGCTGTGCTGTGCTGTGCTGTGCTGTATGCTGTGTGTGTTTTTGTGTTTGCCTGTATGTGTGTGTATGTGTGTATGTGTGTGCTTTGATGTGCTGTGCTGTGCTGTGCTGTGGGTGAGGGAGGAAGGAAGAGGAGGGGGAGGAGGAGGAGGAGGAGGAGGAGGAGGAGGAGGAGGAGGAGGAGGTGTGAGACGCGGGTGTGTGAGACGCGGGTGCGCCGCGGCAGAGAAGAGAATCACAACCCCACGAAACATGTGGGGAAATACAGTCAACAACCCTAATAAGGACGCGCGACTTTGCTCAGGATACCCTTGCGTCCTTGCTCTTCCTTGCTCTTGCGTCCTTGGTGTTTTCGTCGTCCGCCGCCCCAGAAATCCCAACTTCGGCTTCCAAGGGTCTTGCGCCCTTACCGCGCGTCCTTCTTAGGGTCTTTGACTGTATGAAGGTGAGGAGGAAGAGGAAGAGGAGGAGGAGGAGGCGGAGGAGGAGGAGGAGGAGGAGGAGGGGGAGGAGGGCGAGGAGGAGGGAGGGAGAGAGGAGGAGGAGGGGGAAGAGGGCGAGGAGGGGGAGGAGGGAGAGAGAGAGAGCGAGGCAAACAAATCGAGAGTGAGGTGCCTTGGGTGTGGTTATGGGTTTTCAGACGGGGCAGCCAACATGAATAAGATAGTCGGCACGGCCCGTGGCGCGGCCTCAACCACGGGTGGTCGCCAATTCGGACCGCGCGCGTACGTGGCAACACAGCAGCGACTGGTGCGTGGTCTCGTAGAAAAAGGGCCAGGCCTCCAGCCTCCAACCTCTTCGTTCCCCCGTGGCCACCTTGGCCAAGCCATCCGGTCTGGGCCGGATGCTGATGTCTCGGGCGTCGCGCAATCGGGGGGGGCGGTGAATGGGGTGGGGTTGGGTGCAGAAAGGTGCACTTTTCGTGCACCTGCAGGTCCCTACAGGGGCACGAAAGGTGTTCGCTTCTTCGCCCCCCCCCCCTCTGGGCATCGCCCCCCTCCCGTCAGGCAATTGCCCAAACCTCCATCACGGCTGCTCTTCTCAGTGGGGCGACGCGAGGGCGCGAAGCTTGGCGACCGAGCTCGTGCGGCGCTCCGCCACGCCACGGCGTCCAAGCCTGCTTGAGTTGGGCATGCTCCCTGGTGGAGCAGAGCAGTCGGCGTTCGGGCGCTCACTCAGCCTTCCTTTGCGTGAGGGTTCCCTCGTCGCCCACCTCTCCTGCCCGCGCCCAGTTCCCCACCTCGCCTCCCCGCCTCCCCGCCTCGTCTGTCCTGTCCTTCCTGCCCCCCCCCCCCACAAGGCGGTCAGCGGGGCCGCCCCCGCCACGGGCATCCGCCACCACCACCCCCCCGCTGGAGGCTGGCCAGCAGTCTAGCTGTTGCCACACCCTGGGTTTCCAGGGGGTTCTGAGTGAGCAGCCCGCGAGACCTCGCCCTCCTGGGTGCCGCCAGGCGCACACGTCGTTCGCTGAAGGCCAGATCCGACGTTGCTCTGGGTGCCCCTCCAACTCAATAACTGAACGGTCTTCCCTGGTCCTTGTCAGAGGGGCGGACTGAGTGATCTTCCCTGTTCCTCCCTTTTCATGGGTGGGCGCAAACCCAATCTATTTTCAACGCCTTCCTGCTGTCTGTCTCTGCCGCCTTCGTCCGAACGCTGGGCACGTGCAGCAGTCTCCGCGGGGCACAAGCCTAAGCCTCCCACAAGGGGGTCCGAGCAGGTGGGGTCGGAGGATCGCGGCGCATCGCCGATGCGTCGGCGAGACGGCCTGATGTGGAGCCCGATTCTCTCCACGCCGAGGTCTCCGATGCATCGGCGATGCGGCGCGATCCTCCGACCCCACCTCCTCGGACCCCCTTGTGGGAGGCCTCTAACCACGGGGAGAGTCTATCTCGGAGAGACCCGCCGCGGGCATCCAGACCAGGTCTCGCTCTTCCTGGGCGCTCTGCGGGCGTCCACCAGCCGTCACCCTCCTCCTGGGGCCCGCCAGGGCCCCAGCGGAGTGGCCGCGGGCATTCACACTGGACCTCGTCCTTCCTGGGTGCTGCCGAGTCAGGCAAGCTTCAGAGGGGCATGAGGTCATGATAATGATACGTTCCTCCTCCTCCTCCTCCTCCTCCAGAGTTTCGAGGATTTCCCAGATGTCCTGATGTTCTACACGGACTGCAGACGCGCTGGGCGCCAGATACCTTGCAACTCCTGGAACGTATCGTGAATCCATCTCCCCATCCTCCTCCTCCTCCTCCTCCTCCTCCTCCTCCTCCTCCTCCTCCTCCTCCTCCTCCTCCTCCTCCTCCTCCTCTCCTCCTCCTCCTCCTCCTCCATGGTAGCACTCTCGCCCGAAAGCTGCCCCCATCCCCTGGGCCTCCCTGTGGAGGCCCGTGATGGGGCCCGCTGCGGTCGGGCACTCGCAAACGGTGTGGTGACTGCGCCGCGTAGTGAGGCAGTGGGGATTCGGGGTCACCGCACGGTTTTGAGACTCGGGTCGTTCGCCGAGGACGTCTTGGGCGACCATGGCCTCTTGGGTCCCAAGTTGGGCGGTGACGGACCGGGCGGTGCGGCTTCTTGGGATTCCAAAGTCGCCGCCCGGTCCGTCACCATATCGTTTTGGGACCCCCGGCAGTGGAGGGGCCCGCTTCGGGCAAGCAAGGCTAGAGTCGGCATTCCTTCTCCGAAGCTTCGCAGGCCTAGAGGTTGACACCACCAAGATCGGCGGTGTGCCTCCACCGAGGGATGACGATCCCGATCTCGGTGATGGTGGTCATATTCTGACTTCCAAGGTGGCCGAAATGTTGCCACCAACACCGAAATCTAGGATCATCTTCCCCCTGTGGAGGCAACCCCCTGGGCTGGTGTTGGTGCCAATTTCCAGGCCTCCAATCGAGCTGCTCGACAGTAAGCGGGCCGCCTGTCGCCACTTTCCGATCCCTTGGGAGCAGTCCAGCCGGCCGGCGCACAGCGGGCACCCACTGTGGGCCTCGCCTCCCAGATGCCTGCCAACCGCGCTGCATGGACTGGGTGTAGGTTCCAGGTGTTGTTGGTGGGGCTGTTCGAGCAGTTTTTGAATCGTCCGTTCTTGCTCGCAGTTGCACATATACTTGTATGTGCGTATTTGCATGTGTGTATCTAGATATATGTATGTATGTATGTATGTATGTATGTATGTATGTATGTATGTATGTATGTATGTATATATATATATGTATATACACATACCTAGAGATTCTAGGGAGCACTGTGTTCAGTACTCGGCCTTTGCACTCCCCCCTTCCCCCTGCGGGCGCCTGCCATGAGGGGCCAAGAGGCCCAGGTGGGCCTCGCGAGCTCATTGTGAGATTCCAAGGCCGCACCGGGAGACGTCAAGAAACTTGCAAGCGGCTCAAGACGCCGCAAGGAGCCCCAAAGAGGCGGCCAATGACGCTTCCAGCGAGTCTCTGTAAGGCCAGTGAATCAAGGGATGCATAATCATGTGGGCCCCTCTTTCGGACCAGAATTCGGAAACGAACTAGCCCGCAAGTGTGGCATTGAGGCATGCCGTTGGGCTGTCAGGGGGAGGAAGAGAGGAGGAGGAAGAGGAGGAGGCGGAGGAGGAGGAGGAGGAGCAGGAGGAGGACCAGTGTAAATCCAAGAGGATTCAACGATGTTGAAGCAAATCCTCCCTCCAAGCTCCCTCTTCATAGGCCCCTACAGGTTCATTTCCATTGAAGCAACTGCCTCGTTGGAAGACACCCGTTTGAAGACCCTGACGCATGCCAAAACCTTGCTCTCGGAATTCCAACGCCACGGATCAACATGGTTGTTGCGTCTTGACGATCCTAAATCATGCCAGAGCGCCATTCCGAGGACTTCAACACAGAGAATCAACCTACCTGCTGCACGCATGATCCTGAATCTGTCCAAAACACCATTTCTGGTACGGTGATGGGAACACGTGAAACTCTTGACAATGTTGTAAATTAATAAGCGCGGCGCTAAGGCGAGAGCCACATTTTGAAAAGGAACCGCCCTCTATCCGTGAAACTCCTTTGCAAATGGTTAAAGCAAATGTGCGCCGTGCTATGGCGAGAGCCATACTATATGTTGAAAATCACTCGCCCTCAATCCGTGAAACCCTAGCATATGTTGCACGAATGTGCGCCGCACTAAGGCGAGAGCCATGATTGGACAACGACCCGCGTTCAATCTTCAAAATTCTTGAAATTGTTTAAACGAATGTGCGCCGCGCTAAGGCGAGAGCCACAATTTGAAAACGACCCGCATTCAATACATGAGACTCTTGCAAATGTTTAAGGCGAGTGTGCGCCGCGCTACGGCGAGAGCCACATTTTGAAAACGACACGACTTCAATCCGTGAAACTGTTGCCAACTTTTCAGCTTCAGAGCCATAAATGTTGAGGAAGTCTCAGGCGAAACGCCTGGCCCGCCCTAAAAACTGGCTTCGGGGTGCGACAGGGACATCTTGGTTAGAATGAAAGGGAACGGAGGAGGAGAAGGAGGAGGAGGAGAAGAGGAAAACGGGCGAGGAGGGACCTCCTCTAAGCCTCGGTGGGGCTACAGAGTGACCTTTGGGCGCTTCTGGGGGGCCTCTTGGGGCCTCCTGGGGCTCTCGTGGGCCGTCGTCGGGCTCACGTGGCCCGTCTGTCGCCTTGTCGGGGACGTCCTTGGCGCTTCGCAGGCGTCGTCGGGCAATATCGGGACGTCTGGGAGACCCTTTCGATGCCTATGGAGCCGTCTTGGAAGCCTCTTGGGCCGTTTGTGGCTGCCAGAAGCCCCAACAAGGTCGGGACACCACGAACTTGCCAAAACCTGAGGACAGTATATGACTGTTGCTTCTTGGGACCCTCTGGACATCCTCGTGGGGTCCTCTTGAGCGATATTGGGGTTTCGTCTGCCTTGGTGTGGCCATCTTGGGCCGTTTGGGACATATCTAGATTCGTCTGGAGGCCATCTGGAGACCTCCAGGAGCCATCTTGAGGCCATGCTGGGTCGTCCTGAGGCCATCGTTGCGGGAGGCGCTGGGAAACCCAGCCACACGAGTTGATTCGGCAGCCCCTCTTTGCCATCCCCCCAATTTTGCCCAACCTGGCCCGAGAAGGCGAGGCGGGCCTTAGGAGGCAGCAGCCTTCTTAGAACGGCCCGGGGACTTCAGTAAGGGTTCCGGAGGAGCCGGGGGGGGGTCCAAGAAGGTATTTCCCTTCCTTCGGCTGCGCATAATTGATAGTGACCCGTCGCCAGAGTGACCTTCGATGCGGGCCTATCGAAGTCCCCCGAGCGCTGCATGCGATGCGATCTCATCAGCTTGCGCGCTCAGGTTTGGCTCCCCCGTGCATCTCCTGAAGCCGCGCACCAAGGGTCACTCTTGCCAAGGGTCGCTCTTGCCTGTGGCCGACCCTCTCGCCTCTCCGAAGGCTGCCGCCCTCGGCGCCCCCCCCCCCTTCCGTGTGCGCGCCGCCGAGAGTCAGGAGGGGAAAAAACACACAGACACAATTAATCGTCGATCCCCAGGAAAATATGCGAAAATATGGGAATTGGGGGGAAGACAAAAACCCAGAAAATATGGGAAAATATGGGGGATATTTTTATTTGTGTGTATTTATTTGTGTGTTCCAGTTCCCCTTCAGAGAGGCGCTGCAGATGACGCCGCAGAGCGCCTCTCTGCCCCCTGCGCTCGCCCCCCCCCCCTCCCCTCGACTTTGGTCCCCGCAGGCGTCCTGCCCGGCGGGGCCGCTCCGCTGCTGGCCAGGCTGGGCCGCGCTGGGAGGCCCCCGCGCCACGGGCTGCGGGGAGAGGCAGAACATGATGGGCGTGTTTTCCACCACCACCACCATAAGTTGGAGGGGGGGTCCTCCTCCTCCTCCTCCTCCTCCTCCTCCTCCTCCTCCTCCTCCTCCTTCCCCCCTCCAACTTATGGTGGTGGTGGTGGAAAACAGGCTCATCAGAACAGGGGAGCATGACCGAGGTTGAGTGCGGAAGCGCAGTGTCGGTCTCGATCACCGTCCAGTTTGGTCAGCGTCAACTCGTGGATCGTCCTCGCGAGTCGCCGACGTCGGGTACGGGCCATGACCAAGGTCGGCGCAGACGAGATCCCGCGACGTTTTGGCCTTGGTTGGTCTGCTTCTTCCCTCCACTGTCGACGCTGGCGTCGGCGCCTGTGCGTTTCCTCGGGCGTCCGAGTGTGACTGCGGCCACTCATTGGCATCGGGGGGGGCACCGCGGCCGTGTCTGAGGCTCCCGTGGGCCCTGGGGGCGGCCGGCCAGCAGCGCAGTGGGCATCGTCTGCGAAGCGCCACAGGGATTAGATGCAAAAGACTTTTCATGGAAAGCATTCCTACGGTTTTCCGAATGGAAAGCGTCACACAAGAAACTGTTTGGAAAGCACTTCGCAGGGACCCGATGGAGACACCTCGCATGGGAAGCACCCCGCAGTAATTCCATTGGAAAGCGTTACGACAGGGATTCTTGTGGTTGGAAGACACGCTTGAGAGCTTCCATTAGAAAGCGTCACGAACCGAATTACGTGGACAACGCGATGGAGAAACTCTACGGATAATCTTCGCAACGTGAGTTTTTGAAAACACTTCTGGAGCTCCTATTTGACAGCCTCAGGATCGGAGTCCTCTGGAAACATGATTGAGGGCTCCTACTAGAGCGCCCAACACCAGGAATATGTATATGAAAACACAGCTGGGGGTTCTTCTTGTAAAAAGCGTCGCAGCAACGATCCTGGCTAAAAACGGAATTCGATTGGACACATGTCTCTGGACAGTTCTCCTCAGGGCTCCGATTGATAAGCATCACAATAGAAGCCCTTTCGGAAGCACCACTTATGGATTCAATTGGCAAGCATCACTGCGTGAATCCCCTGGAAGCGCCAGTGTGGGTTATCATCGGGAAGGATCGCAACAGGAATCCGCTGCAAACCGCTACGAATGCATTCGAATGGAAAGCCCCGCAACAGAAGTCCTTTGAACAGCGTGGTACAGGGCTATCAAGGGACAGCATCGCGAGGGGAATCCGTTGGAAAGCACCGCAAGTAGTATATATTGGACAGCCTCGCAGGCGAACTCTTTTGAGAAGCGCGATTGAGGGAGCCGATTGGGAAACATCCCGACGGGTATCTTTTGAAATGCGCTACACAGGGAACATCATCGAAGGCCTCTCGCCAGGAAGACGTTGGAAAGCATTACCGACGGCTCTCCTTGGAAGGCATCACACAAGACACCCCCTGGAACACGCTACGGATGGCTTCGGTTGTAAAACCTCACAACAGGGTTCCTATGGCAAGCGCTACTGAGGTCTATTCTTGGAAGCGTCACTACGGCTTTCTTTTCGAAGGCACAACAGAGGGCTTATAATGAAACGCCTCACATGGAACGCGTACCAAAGGACTCGTTGGAAAGCGTCACAACAGGAGTCCTTTGGACAGCGCAACAGAGGAACTCGCACGGAAAGCCTCACATGGAAATCGTCACACGATGAATCTTTTGGGAAGCACGATTGAGGGCTCCGATTGGCCAGAGTCACAGAAGGAGTCTTGTGGTAAACGCTACGAAGGGATTTTATCGAAAAGCCTCACGACAAGAATTCTTGCTGGAAAGCACTGAGTTCCGTAGAACCCGCTACGGCGGGATTATTGTTGGAAGGCCTTGCAACAGGAATCCTCTGGAAGGCATTATTGAGTTCTTCCATTAGAATGCCTCACAACAGGAATCTCCTGGAAAGCGCGAATGAGGGTTCCTATTGGAAAGCAAATACCCTCGCCCGCAACCGCCCACAGGCACTCTGCCTCCTCCTCCACCTCTTCTGTTTCCGCCCTCCTCTTCCTTTTCTTACGTTGCGCCATTCGCTGGTGGAGGTTGGACCCCAGGGACCAGTTCGAAAACCATAATTTTCTTGGCGAGCATTCCAATGCATTCTACGCGAGTGGCAACCATCAACATATCCGCCCGCTGCACAAGACCTTTTTTGGGGGGTCGTAACACCCCTGGACACTTTGCCGGAGCAAGTCGGAACAGGCTCGGCACACGTGTCGCGGTGCACGGGGGCGGGGGCAAAGGACGCAAGCGGAATGATGATGCGAGATACGCTTAATAGATCCAGCCCAGCGCGCCGAAGTCCAAGCAGGGAGCGGCTCGACTGCGCCCCGAGCTCACGCTCCCATGGCCGGCTCAGGCTCTGGCCGCGCGGATTATTTTCTTCGAAGCCCAGCTCTGAGACGACGACGTTTTTGCACGAATTGGTATCTAAACCCTACCGCTGGGGCCTTCGGTTGAGCCCCCTAGGGGCCGTGAAACTCGTGAAGGCTGTGCCGAAATGGTCGGGGTGGCAGCATGGCAGCATGTGATCCCTGCCACTGGGGCCTTCGGTGGAGCTCCCGAGAGGGCCACGCACCGTGTCAGGGGTACGCCGATTCGGGGCGGCGGCATGTGAACCGTGCCACTGGGGCCTTCGGTGGAGGTCCCTAGGGGGGCACGACGCGTGTGGGGGGGAAGCGCCGGGATTTTCGGGGCGGCAGCACGTGAGCCCTGCCTGCCACTAGGGCTTTCGGTGGGGCTCCCTCGAGGGCCACGAAGCGCGTGAGGAGTGTATATACCGTGGTGGTCGGGGCGGCGGCACGTGAACCCTTGTATTTGGGCCCTCGGCGGAGCTCCCTTAGGGGGCCACGAAACGTGTGAGGGGTGCGCTGACATGGTGCAGTCGGGGCCCTGAAGAAGGAACCCTTTTCGTTGGGAAGGGGCTCCGTGTTCCTTAAGTGTTTCACAGTTTGCCCTGGATTTCCCTTAGGATTTCGATACGAAACCGAAGGTTAACTTATGGAAAAAAGGGGCCTCGCCCCTTATTGAGGGTTCCTTAGGTCAACACCCCGACTGTAGGTGCGGCGGCACGTGAGCCCTGCCACGGGGGCCCTCGGTGGAGCTCTCCAGGGGCCCCGGAAGGTGCGAGGGGGGAGTGCCGGAGTGGTCGGGGGGGCACCGTGCGGGCCCTGCAACGGGGGCCCCTGGTGGAGTTCCCCAGGAGGCCTCCGAACGTGTGGCGAGAAGGTGATGAGGATGGTACTCCAGAGTTCGTAATAAAGGGAGGGGGGTCTCATTTCGGGGGGGGGTCTCTTCCAGGGTGGTCTGGGGACGATGTTTCTGAGGGTTCTCCCACAGGGGGGGTCTGAAATGGCTTGTCTCGGAGGGTCCAGACCCCCTCCCTTTTATTACGAAATCTGGAGTAACGGTGGTAACGCCGATGATGATGACGACGGCGACAACGATGCCGACCATGGTGATGGTGATGTTGACGATACAAATGGTGCTGACGACAAGGACGGGGAGGAAGAGGAGTAGGATAGGTAAGGAAGAGGAGGAAGAGATGGATGAGGTCAAAACGAGGTCCCAACACACAGGGGGGTTGTGACAAAAGATATAACCGATAACCAATCTAATCATGAGATTGGACAATATTTCTAAGCCGAGGCCAATCCGAACAGTTCTGGCGACATCCAACGTGTTTTGGGGTTCCTCTGGTTATCCTGAGGTTCCTGCTCGAGGACAGCTGGAGTGGAAGACAGCTGGAGTGGAAGCCTCCGGAGGCCTCCAGCGCCAGCGTCTGGTCCGAGGCAGCGACGAGAACCATTGGTGAGAAGAAGAGGGATCAGGAAGGGAGTTTGGGAAGGAAAGTGGAGAAGAAGGAGAGAACGGATGACTGAAACGGAGTTGGACAGACAATCAGGGGTACCCGTATGTATATCAATCTATCCGTGTATGCATGCTTGTTTTACGCAAGCACCCGTATCGATGTATCTCCACCCATATGTATATAAACATATACACATATACACCTATATATATGTATATATAGCGGCGCGACGGTGTCCGGGATGTTCTGCTTCTCCTCGGTGTTCATCTTCTGACGTGCCTGTAAGTTTACTTCTAAGTCGCTAGCAGCATCACGTTTCCGTATGCTGTGCCATCGACCCAATACCGGGAGACATCATTCGCCCAGGCATTTTCCGTTCGTTATTCTTCCTCATTTCGTTCCGCGGTCCTCGCCCGCCAGGCCCCACACCGCGGCCGCGCTGCTCGAGTGGATGCAGCGCTCCGCCCTGCAGGAGGGATGGGGAAGGAGAAGCTCGAGGTGGACGCCCTCCCTCCTCCCTCCTCCCCCTCCTCCTCCTCCTCCTCCTCCCTCCTCCTCCTCCTCCTCCTCCTCCCCCTCCCTCCTCCCTCCTCCCTCCTCCTCTCCTCCTCTCCTCCCTCCTCCCTCCTAGACCAAGCGGAGTGTGTTGATGCTTTCCAGCTTCAAGGGGCCGTCTTCCGGGTCCAGGACCGTCGAAAAGCTACCGGGGACGAACAGACAGTCCTTGGGAGAGTGTTGCGATGTCGGAGGGCAGTGCATTCATACAGGCACGACATCGGATCTTTGGGTATTGACGTGGTTCGGAAATTGAGGATCCAGTTCTTGTTGAGCGTTGCCTTATTGTTCGCGCGGCCAGAGGGCACCCCGGAAGAGGATCGGTCTGTTGGTTGATTCTGAGGATTGGTACCCAGATCTCCGACGATATGGTGTTTTCAGTCTTGGCGTTGTTACTCCATTTCGGCCTCTGAGTCCCATGATCAGGCCGAGTGTCAATCAAGTCTGGATCAGAGCCAGCAAACTATCCTTTGGGAAGGGGGCGAGATTTCTGGGGCCGTTTTTGGGAAAACATCTCATCGTCGGATGTCCAGGGGCCCAAGAGCTACGGCGTCACGAGAAGGCCAGCTCCAGGCCCAGAAGAACATCAAGCAGCTTGGGGTGAGAAGTTGGCCTCCGGGGTAGGGTCCAGAGGAGCCATGTAGGATGAGGAGGAGGAGGAGGAGGAGGAGGAGGACTGGGAGGGGTTGGGGGAGGGGTTGGGAGGAGGAGGAGGATGAGGAGGAGGAGGAGGAGGAGGGAGGAGGAGGAGGAGGAGGAGGGGGTGGGGAAGCCAGAGCAGGATGAACAAGGGAAGGAGCAGGCGTCGGGAAGAAGCCAGGGGAGAAGATCACGCTGACGCTGGAGGATACGTCTTCTTCGGTGGTAAGTGGCACAGTCAACGACAACGGGGATCTCAGTGGTCATTGCGCCCTCAGTGTCGGATCGCGTCGGTTTTCTCTGAAGGTTTACGGAGGATCGCCTTTTGCATTCCTCGGGCATTTTAGCAGGCAGTTTGTCAACATTAGTTTTTTGTATGCAAACGCACAATTTGGCCGTGTGTATGAAGACGTGGTGCCCTTCGCTCACACTTCGTCGATACCAGTGAAGATGGACAACTGTCTCAGATAAAATGAAGGTGCCCCCACAGTCTGCGAACACTGCATTATTCGTTGGTGAAGCAGCTTGAGGTGGGGTCCTGCCACGGCCGGCCCAACGCACTCTTGTAGAGGTGTGGATCGGTGCAGATTTGCCTGTGTCCCCCCATCTGCGCAGCCTTCTGCAGAAATTTCGGTTCGTCGGTTCCTCCTCCTCCTGATCGTTTTCCGACGGATGCCAGGGCTGCGTGCAGCCTTCTTCAGAGCCACAGCGTGCACGGCATCGATCTCTGCATCGGGGCTTTGGCGTACCAGCACGGGTGCTTGTGCACTCGTTGGTCGCTGGTGCAGCGTCGATGTGAGGCTAGAATTCTCCTCTGCCGTCGCCGCACCTCGGAACGCTTCACACCGACATGGGCCCAGATGAAGACCCAGCCACGTGCAGACCTGATAACTAAGAGACAGCGATTCCGCCGTTCAGCACGCACTGATGTGCGTCAAGGCCTCGCCAGCACGATTCCACATGTGTGAGTCTTGCGCGGACCTCTACTGTGCTGCACAATGTGTTTGTCCTCGACGGGGTGAGCCCACTTGAGCGATAGCATGTACTACTTACAGATCGCACTGAGACGATCATCTTCCAACACTCGGCCTAGATATCTTCCGTCTTGGTTCTCTGGCTGATGATTCGCTTTCCCGATGGCATCGTAGTCGTGCGTTTCGTGCACGTGCACGTTGGCGTCGGACATCACGACGGGCACCGTCTTCGCAGGTAGGCGTCTCAGCACAGCATCCCGCGGCCCCTCCCGACTCCACGAACGTGCACTCGAACATGCACTGGTACTCTGCAAGAGCCCGCACAGCGCCTACATGCGACTCCACGGGTCCACATCCAACGGTGAAGGCGAATGGCGTCTCAATGAGAGGGGCACGGCTACTCATGATTGCCGTCCGCCTTTGCCTTGAGCACGGCCGCAGTGAGACGGTTGGAGCCCATGTGCGATGTCTTGTTCGCACACTCGCGCCCTGCTGCATTGCGTGCCCTGAATTCCAACAGCGCTGCAAGCACGGAGCTGGCTCACCATACGTGTCGAGCAGTATTGGATGCATGCTTGCCGCGCGGAACTCCCTTTGTCCGGGTGCGGGGGCTGGAAGGGGAAGAGGAGGAGAACGAGGAGGAAAACGAGGACGCGAAGGGCGCTGCGGTTTGAAGGGGGAGAGGGGCAGAGGCGGGAGGGGGGAGGCGGACTGGATGAGCAGCAGGGTGTGGTGCCCGGTTGTGAGGGCGCTGGCTGCGATCGCGCAGGCAGCGAGGGGGACCAGAGGCAGAGCAAGGGAGGCAGGCAGCAGCGGCCGAGCAAGGGCTTCGGCGGAGGTGGGCACTGTGCACTTCAACACCACCATCGGAGCCCACGAGAAGGCACCCCCTCGCGCAGCAAGCACAGGCACGGGCACAGTACTTCCAGAGGGTCGCCCCAGGGTGTCTGGGTCGGCGCCGCGCCTGCTGGCGCCTCCGGCGCCGCGGGGAGGGGCGGACGTGAATGGACCTCCTACCCTGACACGTCGATGAAGGAATTGGCCGTTTTCGGTTCGCGAGAGGACGTCGCGGCCGTCACTTTTGCGGGTCCAGGTCCGTCGGTTTCGGTCCCAGGCCGTTTTCTCTAAGGGGAGGTTAACGAAAGGGAGGTTTGTCCACCGCCTGAGGGTGTTCAGCGCCTGAGGGGAGTCCACTGTTTTCCGTTGAGGACTGTGGACACGCGCACGGACGCGCGCCGCAGGATACCAGAGTGATAGAAGATGCCCTTTGTGGGCTGGACGTGGACAGCGCTCGGCACTGCGCATGGCGTTGACAACGCGGGGCCGCCCGAGCTGCGCGAGCGGCAGCAGTAGGCGAACAGCATGACCTCCTGGAGGAGGCGTTGGCGTCGGAAGATCGGGTTCTTTGGGACGAGCTCAAACTCCCCCACCCCGTGATAACCCCGACCCCCGTCTGCGCAACCCCCAGGGGGAGCAGGTTGAATGGGGGTCCATCTATTCGCAGGGGTTCGAAGTGTGTATCGACGGTTCTTGTTGCCGTCGCGCTGTGCAAGAGATAAACCGCACCTCTGTTGCGTGGGTTCTTTTCTCGGGGTTGGTGAGGAGATTATTGCGCACGCCAAACCAACGGCGTTGGACGTCCTCCCCCAGACCCCTCAAGCAGCGGAGTACCAGGCAATGGCGATGCTCCCAGTTTTTGCGCATTGCTTTGGCCAGCGTTTCAGCGTCTGCATGACCGTGGTCAAGGGTCGTGCTACTTCACAAAAAAGCACGACCACACCCCTAGTGTCACCCCTCCCTGTCCACCAGTCCGAGGAAATCATCCGTGCTTTGTCGCCTGTGGAGAAACGTATTGCCGTTGGTAGTAGTCTTGCGAACACCCTTGCCAGGTCCGCCCTCCTCCTCCGGCCTTTTCCCTCCCCTGCCGAGAACGAGCTTATAGACTGTAATATTACTCGTTTCATATTCGCGACCCGCGTCGTGACTCGTGACCAAGGTGTTGTGTGCTTTTGCAGCTGAAAATTTTGAGCGCCCGCCCTGTGGACCCAAAGGCCGTTTCCTCAAGTCTGGGGGATGGCACGCTTGGGAAGTGGCCATACTCTGGCCCGCACTCGGGTCACCCAGAAAAGTGACAAGGCGTCTACCATACATGTTTGAACCACGCTCGGGGCTTACACTGAGCGCCGGTATTTTTTTTCCTCGGACGAGACTGCCCGTTACGTAAGATTTCGGGAGCCCCGACCACACTTAGGATAATTGTTTGAAGACGTGCACCCGCATTATCGCGAGGAGGGCGCTCGACGAAGTGTGTCCAGCCGCAGAGGCACGGCACATGTGCATGATGCAACTACGCTTCCGCCGCCCCCCGAGATTCACCCGCCGCCAAGGGGTCCAGACGCCCTTCCGCAGACAGCGGGAATGGCAGCTCTGTTGGCGCGGGTGCAAGCGAGAGAGCTGGCGGCCAGAAAGGTTGCCGCCAGCAGCAACAGTGGCTCCTGAGGGGCAGCCCTGTCCCGGCGGATTGATTAGGCATTTAGGAGTTTGCTCCATATGTGTCTGCTCATGTCTGGCTGGTCTTCGCCTTTCGTTCCTTCTTTTGCGTTGTTGGTTTGTGCTAGCGCGCTGTTTCCCTCGCCGCGGTGGCAGCGGCGCTGTTCAGACATGAGGGGACTGCCCCATGTTTGTCTGGGTGTATGTTGGAATCGTGGGTCGGGCCATGTTCCAGGGTTGCCCCGAGACACTACCCGCCCGTTTTAGCCTCGAACGACTCCGTTCTTGGCTGGAACGGGGCCGCTCTAGTATAGAACGGGGTCGCTCTAGAATGGAACGGCCCCCTTCCCGCCCTGGTGGCGCCAGGCAGGGCTTCACTTTGGGCTTTTTCTCGCTCAGCCGGTGCTCGCGGGTATCATCTTCGAGCCTGCCTGCTATCACCGTTTCTCGTGCCGCCTACGGCGTTGCATCCACTGGCGGTATTGCCCAGCCTGCTGACCGCACGGACCGGCCGCGTTGACCCTGGGGGTCAAGTTTGTGGCGAGAATGGCACGATGCAGGCTGCGCCTCTGCCCCCCCAGGCTCTGGGCAGGAGGCCTGGCCTCTGTGCTCCCCGCCCCGTGGGCGTCACGGGCGGCCGCCTCTGCGCGCTGCCAGGTCCGACGTCCAGCGTTGGACACGTTCTGTTCTGGCTGTTTCCAAGGATGGTGGCTCTCTCGCACCCTTCGCGCCCTGTCGGGCCACGTGGGCAGGCGTCAGACGGCTGCCATGTCCTCCGGCCAGCGTCGGACACCCTTTTGTTCCAGGGAAGGTGCTCGACAGCGCGCGCCCTCCATCGTGGGCGGAACTGTTGCCCCCCACTCGGTCCTGCCTGATGGCTCGCGGAGAAAATGTTTTGATTGTGGGATTTGCAAAGCCCGGAAGAGCTGGTGCCGTGGTCTGATTGTTTGTGAACATCTGTCTCGTTTCGATTGGTTGTGGGCGGGGAGTCGTGGCATTAGTCCCTGGCGGGGCGTTTTTTTCATTCCCCTGGGGTGTTTGGCCGACTATTTCCGAGCTGGTTTGCCTATCGCGTCTTTCCTCCCTCTAGTCCTAGCCTCCCGCGTAGCGGAGCGATCAATCAATCCGTTGTTGCCGTGATGCGTTTTAGGATTGATTCGCATCGCGCTCTTTTGGCCCCTGACTTCCAAGCTCAGTGCATGATTCGACACGCTCAAAACAGGAGCAGCATCTCCAAAGGGGAATCCAGGCCGGAGGGCTCCCCAGAAGCTCAACACCCAAAACGAGGAACATTTGCATAAGCCTCCAACATCAGTTTTATGTTGTTCTTCGCACGTGCTGTTTGAAAACAACTGCGCCGTTTTCGACATCTGGGGGAAGTCGCCCAAGACCGTCAACACGACTCATGATCGAACACCGTGAACGGCGGCCCTGGGGAAAGTGCGGGAGTTCTAGGGGCTGCGCGTGCTGAACAAATCAAGACACGGGATCTCAGGGAACCTCGACCCTTCGCACCTCGACGGCACAGGAAGTGCCGTTCCCGCCGGCGCCGCAGAGGCCGGGCTCTGGGCGGAGGCGGCGCAGCTCTTGGGAAGCATGGCCGCGCTCATGGCGGAGCCCGACACCGTGTCGGTCGCCAGCGCCAGCCCGCCGTCGACGACGACGACAGGGACGGCGGCGAGCTGCACGTTCGAATACTTTTACCCTGGTGTCTGCTGTTTTTTTGTGTTTACATGCTTGTCCGAATTTTCCTTGTACCTCGGTGTCTCCGAGATGTGATTTCGGCCTCCGGTGGCCGTTTCGTCCCCCGCGTCGCGGTCAGCGAATTGGTGCGGGGTGGCCGATCTGCAAGGACGGACAACGGCGGCGGCGTCGTCGACGACGGCGGCGGCGGCGGCGTCGACGACGGCGGCGATGACGGCGACGACAGCGACGGCGACGGCTGCGACGAAGATGTTTTGTAATCTTGTTGGGCTTCCTGGGCCCCAAAGATGATTTTGTAGTCCTTCTGGGCTGGGCCTCCTTGTGCATCGTCGATACAGTGCCAGTGTCGGTCGCGCTTCGCGTTGCGGGTGGGTGGGTCGCGGGGTGGGGCGTGAGCAAGTTTCGGCAAAAATATTGACAATGGTAATCTGCTTTGTGGAGCCCGACTTCAACCACGTTTCCAGCGACGGTGTAAAACCGAGCGTCCTCATCACCCTGATGTTGTGCATCCTCCTCTTCGTCCTTCTCTCTGCCCCTACCTTCCTTTTTTCCGCCTCCCTCCCCCCTTGCCTGACCAGAAAATCAATTGCAGCCCCGGGAGCTCAGAGGCGGTATGCGAGGTTGGCCAGCATCTGAGTGAGGAGGTGCTGGGGTGAGGGGGGGGGGGAGAGGAAGGATGATGAGGAGGAAGAGGTTGGGGAGGAGGAGGGGAGGAGGAGGTGTCAGAATATGGTGCTCCGACCGTGTGAGCAGGACGATGCACTTCGAGGGACGTTCGCCTCATTTGATAATTCGGATGCGGCGGCCCAACTGCTATTTGCCTTTCCGTGAGAGAAGAAAGAAGCTCCTACAAGATGTGCATGATAGCGGAGCCCGTGGCTCGCCCCACGGGTTCCAGTGCAGAAGTTGCGGCGGCGGCGGCCGTTGCAGCTGCCCCAGCAAAACCCCGGCCTCAACGATCCGATTTCTGATGTATCGTTACCTGAAGGCCCTTGGCACAAGTTGGTCACGAACCGGTTCGCGGAACTATGCAACGCAGTTTGCGAAAACGGGTTCTCAGGTACGCTAACACAGCGCCCACGGCCAACCGCGAGGGCACGCACTTACTCTTTGAGCGCAGCGCCGCCCAGGGCACCAAGACCGCCGGCAATGATGAAACATACGCAGCGGTGCTGATTAACTAAAGGATGTTTGTGTGTTCCCCTGAAGTTCGCTACAACTCCCTCTATGCACTGCGAGGAACAAATCGGCAACTTAAGAACATGTGATGGTATCTGTTCAGCTACAGGTGGATACTTCGGAGCATGTTACACACAACGCTGGGCCAATCCAAACCGCAGGACGTGCCAGGGCAGGGGGTGGTGGAGGTAAGCCCGCGAGTGGGTACCAAGTTTCCCGTTCAAGCCCCCCACGCTTCCGGCGATGGAACCATGAAGTTCACGGTATGAGAGGGAGACTTGCTGGAGGTATTCGGCAACGTTGCAAATTGTTACGGCAAGTTCTTCCAACTAAGCAAAAAGGTTTGGAACCATGGATGGAGCATCGCCCGATGACGGGGAATTTGATTTGATAGAAAATACGAGTGGGAGGTTTCTTCAACGAGAGAACACAACAGCCTCGCAAGGAAGGAAGCAACACGAGGACGCAAAAAGGGATCACGAGTTGGATGGCGATGATTACGCCCAGCTGGATGAGGACCCCTTTTGTATTTAGTAAAGCATAACTTTGAGGGGACGGAACACCGAAGGGAACGTGAGGGTCTATATGAGACTGAGGGCTTGATGGGCAATCGAAGAGCTTTGCTGTTGAATGCTGCGGCTACCCGAGCTACACTTCCGCATGGGAATAATCTGGCAATGACACTTGAAAAGCCAAATAACATGAAACGCGTGGCCGCACAGCTTGAACCGTGGAGCGCGTTCGTAGATTCTCGCGCAGGCCATGGGCCTGCCCATTCGTTTCAACCGACTTTCATGGTTGCATCCTTGCGATTTATTTTGATGCATGTGGGTGACTGGTTCGTCGGCTGGTGCTAAGATCTCAACGAAACCCCGGAGTCGCTCAATGTCGACACCTACCACAAGTTTTCCGTTAAGCGCGAGGATTGGGCGAGGGGGGAAGACGAGGCGCCTTTTCGACGAGCGCCGATTCCATTAACATTGGTCCAGCCTGTGATCGCGACAGTTGAAATTGGGGCACTGTTGAAGACGAAGGCTCTTGCGACGAGGCAGGCATCAGGTGGCCTCGGAGAGTGGCAGGCGCGGCTGAGAACGGCAACGCGCGCGAAGAAAGGGGGGTACATCTATTGCAGAGGACTCATGGGTTACTAAGGGGCGCAGGCAGGCGGATTCACAGGGGGGCATCAGGGCGCCAAGGCTTACCATGGAGGCCGCGGCAGGGTAGGCCGCGCGGGGGGGGCCCAAGACGGTTGCGAACGGGGCCAAGCCCCAGGCTGGCAAAGGGGGGGCAAGGGGGGATTTGCGCGGATCAGCGCGAGCAGATGTCACGCGCGCGGCGGGAAGGGGGGGCAGGGGCCCGGGGCGGCGCGCGCAGCTCCGAGGGCGGCCTACGCCGGGGCAGGGGTGCTTCGTCGACGAGATGGCCGGAGTTATCGACGTTAGTTGAGCCGCGAATGGCCCCGAGCCATTGGGGCCGCCGCGCGGGGCAGCGAGGAAGGGCGGGGGGGCGAGGGCGGGGGTCGAAGGGGGAGCGCATGCCACGCGAGCGCGGCGTTAATTGATTGCGACTATGGCGTCAGCGGGAATGCCCGGTGTACGGGGTGCGCTCAGCGAGAGACAAGTTGCGTTTGCGAGTGCGCTGGGCAATTGTTAGTGGTGGTGCACGGGGCCCAACGAGGAAATCAATGAAGTACCTTCGTGGGGCCAGGAAAGAGGAGTGGAAGCAGCAGTTGTCGCCGTGGGCTCAGGGGCCCGCGACGCCGCTGGACATTCCAGCGCGGAAAACCACCTGCCCGTCAAACGCGGAGGCCCCCATGGGGGCCAGGTCGTCGCGGGGGGCGCGGGGGGGTTCAGGGCTGGCGCGCCCGCGCAGGTAGCCAATGCGAAAATGGCGCTCGGGTCCGCGCGCGAGATGGCCGAGCGGGGGGTCGCAGAGCTCTGGGTCGAGTCAGCGATGGGCGACGCCGCGGCTGCCCTGCGTTCGCGGCAATTGGGCAAATGCTACGGTTTGGGCATCGCGGCGACCTCCAGTTCGCCGGGCGACCCTGACCGGGGCCGCGCGTCACGGTAGGACGTGGGCGGCAGGAGAGGCGCGCGAGGAGAGATGCGAGGGTTTCTTTGGGCAGAGGGCATTCATGGCGGACTTTCGCCATTGTCTGGCTGAGGCCGCGAGCCTCGGCCGCGACCCAGTCAAAGCGGCTTCCGTTGTCTTGTTTGGGGGGGCGACGGCGGCGAAGCAGCGACGCGGGGGATGCATTCATTGGAGAGGAGGCCGAGGCAACGGAGGCCGAACAAAATAGAAGTTGAGTCACGCGGAGAATCGCATGCGCCCCGCCGGGCCCCACCGAAGCTGGCGCGCCCCGCTGCGTCGGGCAGGGGGCAAGCGAGGGTCGCGCAGCGAGATGTCAGGGGCGCCAGAACAAGGCATCCCGTTGATCTCGTTCGACTGCATGCCGTTGAGCAGGATGGGGCGGGGGCGGCGGGGGGGCATGATCAGGGGCCCCAGCTATCATCGCCGTGCGCTGCTGGGGCGCGAAGTCAATTTGGAGCCGCGTTTTCTCGCGTGGGGGCGCGTCTACGTTCAGTCGAGGTGCGCAGTGAGTTGTCGTTGCTCCGTCAACAAAGTAATGGCCATCGTCAAATGCGACGGCAAATCGCCCGTCGCGGCGGGCCCCCGGGCAGTTTGCTAAGTCGAAAGGGCAATCAGAAGTGCATGGGGCTCAATCATGTCGAATAGTGTTTCGGGCGATCAGTGCGCGACAATTTTGTCGGGGAAGAGCAGGCGCCCGCGCCTCGGCAAGTTGCCTGCGCATCTACTCTTGCCGCCGCGTTTCCGATTGGTTCCGGCGGCGTGGCGGCCCGCGAAGGGCGCCAAGGGCGTTGTCTCAACATTCCGCGGCCAATGCTTGGGATGCGCGGGCTACCGACATGCAGGGTTTACCTTGGCTGCCGGGCCCCGACGCGCCTGGGGCGGGAACTCGAGCTGTAGAGATTACGAGTGACGGTGCCCAATCAAAACTCGCCCGTCGATATTGCGCCATTTGCGGCGCGGGGGGCGCAGCGAAGACATCGGAGCTGATGTCCGCGGGGCTAACGCTCGGGCGCCGCTGGCGCAAAGCACTAGCCAGTGGAGACGTCGCCCATGAACTTAGCAGCGCGCGGCGTCGCGGACGACATATCGAGCGGCTTAGAGGGCAGGGCAGCCCGAACGTCCAGCTGGGCGCACCCGGCAGGACATGGGCACGATGGGGTCGATCTCTGATATTTGGGCAGCCAGAGACGAGTCCGCCATTCGACGGCACCGCGAACAAACACAAACAGACATGCAAGCACACAGAGACACAGGGGATCGCCAAATGCGACTGAGCGATGAGTGACGAACACATGTGTTTTATCCGGGCACGGGCAACATGGGAGATAGAACTAGCGATCATGAGTTGGAGGCGAAAGAGATTTTCGGGGTCTTGAGGCTGGCTGGGCCCAGTTTCGCACCATCCCGATGAGCGATCGCGCCGTGCGCCCGGCCAGAATTCATCCACCGGGGCACGCGGCCGCGAGGCCGAGAGCTGATGGCGCAGGAGTCCGCGAGAGAGCTAGAGAAGGTAGACATGGGAGAAAACGTGGGCGCAGAGTTGCACTGAGTGGACCTGGGAATGAGGGGGGCAAGCAGTCGGAGGACAAACGCAGGAAATAATTTGAATGCGAGCCCGTATGCGGAGAGCATGACACTATTATGGGCGCAGATTAGTA